AGTAATTATAGGAGAGGGGGGATCAAGATATCACAAAAAGCATAATCTTAGGATTTTCTGACAATTACTTCGCCGTATTTCGGCCAATTTATATGGGACTTGGTACATTGATACTTCTTTACAGATCCCAAGTAGAGATGCAGAAAATGTTGGAATTTTTGTGTTGTGCTCCATTTTTCAGAGAAGAAAGCACAATTTTGGGTTTTATTGAACTATTCATGTGTATATCAACCAACTTACATGAAATGTGGTACAAAGATACCTTCTTGCAGGTCCCAAGCAATCACATAGACACTTTTCCATTTTTCTGTGTTTTTCACGATTTTTAAGGTGGCACAATTGGCTATCTTGGGATTGCATGGCGGAGACATATTGCATTCGACCCCGAATGTTGGCCTCTTTAATTCATGTTAAATGTCAGTTTCTTATTAGAAAATTATAAAATTAACAAAACATCTGTAATTTAAAACAGTTTTTATTGTTATTTATTTGATATTTCTGACAGAAGTAACTTCCTTCAGGTGAGCATAGACCAATAGCATTAATAAAGAAAAACTTGAAAGTTATCTCAGTTCTAATGTTAGACGCTCGGAGATCTAGGCCTAATTTCACAGTCTAACTAAGTTACCATTAATAAGTCCAAAGGCTGTCTTGTCTTACAATAGTTCAAGACAAATGAGTGTTTAAAAGATAACCTTGAATAAGTAAAAGTTAATAACATTATACTAAACTGTGCACAATGTAATATTTTCCCGTCCCTTAAGAAGAGTTTGTTTGTTTGTTTGTTTGTTTTTGGAATTTCGCGCAAAGCTACACGAGGGCTATCTGCACTAGCCGTCCCTAATTTAGCAGTGTAAGACTAGAGGGAAGGTAGCTAGTCATCACCACCCACCGCCAACGAATAGTGGGATTGACCGTCACATTATAACGCCCCCACGGCTGAAAGGGCGAGCATGTTTGGTGTGACGGCGATTCTAACCCGCGACCCTCAGATTGCGAGTCGAGTGCCCTAACCACCACCTGGCCATGCCGGGCCCGCAGATCCGTAGTCCAGCACTCTAGACGCTACAGATCCATAGGCCGGTACTCCAGCCACCACACATTCATAGTCCGGCACATTACCCACCGCAGACACATAGTGGCCTACATGAGTTTTTTAGTATTTTAAATTAATCATTTTCTTATATTCAATTTGTTTTTCTTTTTTTTAAGAAAGAGAATCCATAGCATTTAACTACAAAAGGTTATTCTAAACATACTGAAAACAAATCAGATGTGAACATTTAAATTTTGGAACTATTTATATTAATGCGCTTTAGTGTAGGAAAATTAAACCGAAACAGGCTAAAAGTATTTACGCTTTACTTTTTGCTTTCAAAGTATGTTAATACATTTAATAACATAAGTAAATAATTTTGTTACCGTAATTTCCGGGCACCCTTACAGCAATAGTTGTTTCCGTGTCATGCGGTGTCAAAATTAAAGTCTCACGGTGGGACAGCGATAAGTCTACGGTCTGATCTGAAAAAGGTAACCCAAGAGTTGGCAATGGGTGATGTTACTTTCCTTGTAGTCTATCACTTAACAATTAGGGACAGCTGGCTATATTTGCGGGAAATTCAAATAAACAATCCACTGTATGTTTGTACTGTGCTGCCATCTGTCGGTGTGGTTTAGCACCAGCAGATAATTTGAAATAAAGGTAAGCACTTTAGAAAAACCAATGGTACTCAAGAAAACGACAATGTGAATAAAAATATGTTTGCACTCTATGTCAAAAACATATTTTGACATAGAGAAGGAGTACTTGGCAGCACCATCAAGTCACTCAGACATTGCTCTACTATGGTACTACAAAGCTTGTTCTTGACGTTGAGAAAGTGCAAGATGTGACTGGCAGCACCATCAAGTCACTGAGACTATGATGCTGTGGAGCTTGTTCTTCAATTGAGTGAAGGAGCACTTACTAGAACAAGGTGTGACCAGAAGAGTTAGAATTAAGAGACAAAGAAAGTTCAATTTTGGATACACCTCTGTAGACCATTTCTTTACTATAAGCAAGTAACTATAATGAATTTCTTTCACTTTCAGATGCTGGAAGTTTCTGCATCTGGTCGAGCAGAATTCTTGTATTCTGAAACCAGAAGTTCACATTTCATGTTGCCTACATAGATGGTAGCCAATGCTTGTAACATAGGGATTTTTTCTGTAATTGGAGACACTAATCAATCATTGGACAACAAGAGCATCCACCATGAAATCCATCGCTTCGTAAAATAATATAACTCGTAATTGTCTTTGCCAGTTAATACGATTTAAATTTTAAAATGTGGATTCAGTGTGTGATATTCTGAGTAAATAATATTAATACTGTCTAATGTTCTTTCAGTTGTTGCAAAATGCTGATCAAAATTTTCCTCATTTCTCACGCATTCAAGTTTTGAAAGAAACACTTGAACTTGAGATGCTGTTATCACAGTGTTCATATCCTCATCTTGCAGATATTTAAATGCCATGTGCCATAATTTCAAAAGTCCATCCATAATGACCAGGCAAAACTTAAAATCTAAAGTTTTCATGATGGATGAAACTTCATTTTCAATTTCACAATCAAAGTTATCATCATGCACAATAGATTCCTATGTGGGCTTCACAGTGGTAATTGTTATGAGAAGTAAGGTATAATTTCATGCTTGGTTTGACAAATATGTTTTTATCAATGACCTTGTCCTCAAGTGGCTTTGCGGTATATCTCTGGACTTACGATGTTAAAAACCGAGTTTAGATACCCGTGGTGGGAACAACGCAGATAGCCCATTGTGTAGCTTTGTGCTTATAAAAAACAAACAGTGATCTATAGTGTACCAGTTCCTTTAAGTTGTAGTTGCTGTTGAATATCTCTGAAGAGACTTCGTCGCTTTCTGCTGCCTTCAATAAATGATAACATTTTCTGGACAATTCCAAAGAAATGTCTTGTCATTTTGTTCTTTCTGTATGTACCTATAACCATTAAGTTTAAGTGGTGTGCGAAGCAATGTATATGACATGTCTTTGCAGTCACATCTTTCACAAGTGTATATAGCCAAATGTCATGGCCAGACATATTACAACATCCATCATATCCTTTGGCACGCAGATTATCAAATGAAAGACCATGCTTTACAGAAAGATTCTGCAAAAGACTGAACATTCCTGCTGTATCAGAGCATATTACCATACCTAGTAAAGATTCAATTACTTCTCCATTTTCAGTAACGTACCTAACAGTAAAAGAAAGTAGATATTTTTGCTGCAGTCAGATGATGTGTCTAGGCAGAGAGACAAGTAATTTGCCTTTTAAATTTCGCATATAACGTACAAAAAATAGCAGCACTGGCGCGAATCATTCCACTTTGAGAATAAGGCTCATGAGATAGACCCAGGGAATTAATGTGGATTAGCTTTGAATTTTTGTAGACGTTCAGCTAAATCTGAATTCCAGTAATCAATAAGCATAAAATCGAGAGAGTATCCTCTGTTGGATAAGCATATGATCTCATTGTGTTCTGTGAAAGAACGATTTAGAAGGGATTCGATTCTTTATGGTAGACAGAATGTAGATAGCTTACTGTAGAGTTTTGCTTGAGAAATAAATTACGGGCCTAGAAGAGTGAAGATTCACCTGAGTCACCCATAATGTGTCAATACAAGAATCGACAGTTTAATTATTTGCAAATTAAACTTTGGAATTGACTCTGCAATGTATTTATTGAACGGAAGCTGGCACATTTTTGGACTCCTCGTCAAGCGAGAGTTTGTTTGTTGAATGTCGTGCAAAGCTACTGCAGGGTTATTTGTACTAGTCGTCCCTAATTTTGAAATGATAGACTAAAGGAATGCAGCTAGTCAACATCACCTGCGGCCAACTCTTAGGATACTCTCTTACCAACAATAGCGGGATTGACTTTCACAATATGGCCCAGCGGCAGAAATGGCGAGCAGATTCGGTGGCACGATTCGAATCCGCGACCCACATATTGCGAGTCGAGTGCCCTAACTGCCAGGCCATACCAGGCCGTCAAGCAAGAGACAACTTGGGCATAAACATCACGTTAAACACATAAACGTAGAAAAATTATCCGTTTTATAAGCAGAAAAACATTAAGCTATCTGGGCTTTACCCACCAAGGGTATCGAAACCTGACTTTTAACATTATAAGCTTTCAGAGATGGAGCTTTATATAAATTAAATAATTATATGAGTAAACTGCAACAAAACTGTTCAACATTTAATTTATTTGTGAATTTCTTTTCCTTCCCAAAACGTGAATTTCAGTGGAAAAAACTGTCGTAAAGGTCTAATATATTCTTTGATTCTCTACTTCCGGCCCAGCATGGCCAGGTGTTTAGGGCGCTTGACTCGCAATCTGTGGGTTTGGAGTTCGAATGTTGTTCTGGATGGTTGTGTATAATGTAACATTCAAATTTAATCTTGCCTAAGTTTCTTATAAATTAGTTTGACATATAGCGTTCAATAAATAAATAAATAGTGGAGTTTGCACCAAAGTTCATTTTGTTAAGTTTTTTTTTGTTTTACCTACAGTTTAAACATAGCTCTTAAATGTTACACTTTAATGACATTGTTAAAATAAATTTATGCGGCGTTGAAACTGTACTGTATAAAAGTTAGTTCACTGTTAAAACAACGAAAAGATAACGGCAATAGTTAAAGAAGTAATGAAAACAAATAACAACATTAACAGGAAAGATGGGCTATCTCACTTTACGATGAAACAAATGTATATACGTATTCTTTAATTTATAAAGGAAATCTTGAGTTTTAAACATTATTTCATAACGTGGGTTATTAAATGGCAACAAAATATAAATCACACACTTGGGTTTCTTCGCGTTAATGTAGAATAAACCATTTTATTTTGTTAGCCTGAATTTATTTTATCAGTGGTTATCAGGTGAAAAATAACCAGGTGACGTTCTGTTTAGCATTGTCTCGTCTCGTTGATGATGAGAATGATTTTAAGAATTATGATCAGGATTATCAAAAGTTGATGTGATTCCTCATCATGATAAAATAATAATAATATTTAACTTGAGATACTAATTTCTGAACTTTGGAGAATAAGCTTTAAGTTACCATGACAAATTGTATTACTTAATGAAAATATTTTGTGTTCAGTGATTTGATTAAACATCATGATCAAGTAAATATTTGGCGAGAGATGCGCTACTGCTTTACATCTTGTAAGTTGTAACTTACACTACAGTTACAATGTAAGTTGTACTATGAGACACTTGCCGTTAATCGTGGTGTCATATTGTAAGGAAAAAAAAAGAGTATCTAGCCGAATATTAGGGCCAGCACAGTGGTAGCAGGGTTAATAATGTAGGTGCAGTCATATGATTCTGAACATTTGCGATAGCTTTATGTTACACAACTGTCAGTAGTCTGGATTTTTTGGAGGATGGACTAAACAGAAACTTGAGAAAGCGACATTATTTTAAATTGCACATTTTGAAGAAACCTGTATAAAAAAATAACTTGTTTTAACATACATAAAGTGAAGTATACAATTAAAAAGACTTATAACTTAATAGTTTTGTATTACTTTACTTTTAGGAAGAAATATAAATAATGTTAAACTTTCCCACAAATACAAGATGTGGAATGCTCAATGAATAAGGTAAACTTAAATTATTCGTAAACTTGGAGTTTTTGTGCTTCAGTATTTTCGACCATTGCTTTACCATAAGAATGTGTTTTTTTATTTACATTAGTGTTGCAAGATGTTAATCCTATCTTTTGCAATCAGGAGCATGAACAGAATATTTAAAATTCATTTTGCTCACTAGTAGCCTTTCCTTTGAACAGATTTTGCCAAAACACCATGTCAACTCATATATACATATAATTTAAGGACAACAAGAGACTTGTTGGTCCATCTAAACCATCCCACCCTCTGTACTAAAGTCTAAAATAAAAAGAAAACACTCAAAGCCAGCTCTTATCGTTCATAGATATATCAAGCCTTCCCTTAAATTAGCTGCATGTACCACATTTGAAGGCAAACCACTGTGTTAAAAAATAAAGTTATTTTAGTTAAAGATGACTCCTTCCTTGCCCAAATTTATATCTGTGTCCCCTAGTCTTACCATTCTCACCATTAACTTTGAAAAAATATGATGCCTGAATTCTTTGTACAGTCTTAAACACCTTAATCAAATCCCTTCTAATTCTTTCTCTCTCTTTTTTTTTTTTCAACTGAAAAGATTTACAGAGATCATAACCTATCCTTGTATGACAGCCTTTCCATCCCAATGTCATCCTAGTAGCTCTTATCTGAATCCTTTTCCAACAATTCAGTGCCTTTATTCAAGTGAGGAGCTCAAAACTGTACCGAGTAATTCAAATGTGGTCTAACCAATAACCCATAAAATGACATTATAACTATTTTAGTTTTGTATTCATTATTTTTTTTAAAACCTAAAATTCTATTTGCCCTATTCTTAGTAACAGCATGCAGCTTGGATGGCTTAAGAGACTGATCAACCATTATACTAAAGTCTTTTTTTTTTCCATAACACTTTTCAGGTTATTCCAATTAAAATTATACTTATATTTCATACTGTGATATTCCACATGCATTATCTTGCATTTATTGTAATTTGAAGTAATTACTGCAGCCATTTATTTGCTCAACTTACCAAATAATCCAAATCCTCTTGTAAAGCAGCAGCAGCATTCTCACACCCAAAACTTTAAGATCATCAACAAATTTAAATAGTTTATTGACAAATATTCATCTATGTCATTGATGTAAATTAATTAGAGAAAAGTTCCTAACACAGATCTATGTTGAAGCTAAGACACGTCAATGGTGAATCAGTATAAGTTTTTGTTTTATGGCTCTACAAACTTCTATTTTGACTGATATGTTAAAGTAGCTGCATTATTTAGTTAATTTTTAGTTCTGATCTGTAGGTACCTGTCTGTGATCAGAAGATATTAGTAATATGTTTGTACATTTACATTGAAGCTACTTCTATATGATGTCATTGATAAACTACATACAAAAATCTGCTTGGACTCAGAAGCTCTAAACATAGATCTGTTGTTCAAGTGTAGATCTTTTCATGGTGATTCATACTTCATAAATGTCACAAGGAGACAAGCTGAGTCTTACAAGTACAGCAAGATTTTACTGTTATCACTAAACTACATTAGAGTCTAGTGAACTTGCTTTCATTTTCAGTACCAACCTCATCTTCCAATTTCCATTATTCTTCGAATGATACATCCTATTTTCTTTCCCCACTGCATAGCATTTTCTAGCATTTAATGTAATTTCTACAATGTGAGTGGAACACTATACAAGAAAAATTTAAATATTTATAGATGAGTCCTTTTTTATAATGTAATGCAGTCTTTCTCAACCATCAGCTTGTCGAACCATTGGATTTCATGAAAACAAACAAACAAAAATTTGACAGAATATTCATATGTAAATTGTAATGGTTTTTCTTTGTACTTGCATTTTAGAAGTCTGTGACAGTTTAAGGAGGCAGTGAGCCTGTAGCTCGATTTAGTAATATCATAAAATCATTCTGAACTTGGTGCTATAATGAATGTATAGTGAAAGGCTGTGTCATTTCTACACTGACGTAGCAACAGTAAGAAGAAGAAAGTTGTTAAGACTCTGAGATAAGTAAAATGATAAAATTAAATTAATTTACTTGTCACCAGACATTATTGTTAGGCCTATTATATTTTTGGCACTGCATTCTATATCTATTTCCTTAAGAATTTTCAAGAATTAGAAAACTGTTCATCTTATTTGTTGCCAACGATGCATTTCACTAAATGCAAATCTTATCAGTGACATGTTCTGTACTGTTATAGATATTGTCATAATACTTTATGTTTTACCATTTTCTCAACAGGCTAATCTCATTTCAGCAAATAGATTGTGAGGTCTTACATTTCATATTTCGACATGTATACATACCTCATGGTTTGACAAACCACTTTAGTAAACTGTTCCACAAATTTTCTGATTATAGACAAGAATTTATGACATTCAAATTCACTGTGCTGGTCAAATATTTATATGATAATTTTTTAAAACTTATTACATGTGAGGTGTTTGAATGGAACACAAGTGTGAAACTTGTAATTATTGAAACGGGGGGACATAACTGATATCCAAATGTGACATCTCTGTCTGGTAAGGAACAATGAAATATGACTTAAATAGGTACCAGGAAAGAGACATGTCATGCATTTTTGCATAAAAACCACAAAATTGGGATTGGTGAATTTCAAGCAATTTATAGACTGAGAGATATAATTCCAACTGTTGAAGATGAGGCTTTATTCTGTAGGATGATATAAGGTTTCCTTTTTTTGACTTAACAATTGGAAAGGGTTCAGATGAGGGCTACTAGGATGATTCCAAGGGTGAAAGGAATGTCTTATAGAGATAGGTTACGATTTCTACTAATTTTTTCTTGAAAGAGTGGAATCGGTGATTTCTTGAAAAGTAAAGTGTAGATTTAAATATTTGTTTTTCTCATAAATGGGTATGCAAGGACCAAATAGTTCCTTGCTGTTCATGGGTTATGTTAAATGTGTGTGTGTTAAATTGTTTAGGAGCTTCTTAAACATTTACCACAACTGGCAATTCCATATAAATTTAATTTCGTTTTTTGTATTTATTCATTTGCTTTTATTTTTAAAAAAATCATTAAAAGCATTTTTGATATTCGTTGATCACATATTCAGTATTTTATTTAACTTGTTTCGGTAATAATAATGTATTTTACCCTGAAGCATATTCACTATTTTTTTGTGCACTCTTGTGGCTTCGGAAGAGAAATGTTTAAAACCAATTCTGCTTTAGTCTTGATTTTAATATCAGTAAAAGTGTTATTCAATCCGCTACAAATATAAAAGAGAAAAAAGTATGATTAGATGGCTTTGAATTTTCATTAAAAAATAAATTTATTAATAGGTTATAAATTTATTTTTAATACTACTATGCTTGAGTGAAGACCGAAATTATGAATGAAACATTGTGATACTTGGATTGTTTAATTAGGATTTTTTTTTCAGTTACTTACTGTTTTAAAATACAGCAATCCCCCATCATCTGCAAATATAAACGTTCTCTCTTCTTGAAAAGCTACATTGGGTCCACTACCAAATATCCCCATTCAAGGATTGTACAACATCATACTTCTTCCATCTCTAAGAACTCATCTTTTCCAGCATGCTATGGAATGTGATGGTGAAATTAAACTTAAACAATTTGACATTCTATTCAAAGCAACAAATTAAGGAATATTAAGGTTCCAAGAGACTCTGGCCATGAAGACTTTCCAACCTGAAGTAAATATCATGGAGGACTGTTTTGGGATGGTTTTTAGACTTGATAAAGCCCACAGATGAAGTAATTTGTTACCAGATCTGAAAAATATGTTGAAGTATATTTAACATCAGTTCCTTAATTGTATTTGTAAATAAAGTTTATAAAAAAAATCTAACATAAAAATACAAAAGTATGATTTATTGGACTCAGATTTTATGATTTGTAGCTATACCTGTGCAATTAGCACCAAAAGATTTTTTATATCCTTTTAATGCTTGTGTATTAAATTGATAGTAGTTATTATATTTTATTATATTTAAATATATCATTCTATTATTTGTGTAATCTTACCAGATGTGGTAACCGGAGTGGCTAAAACAAAAACAGTGGTGTAATGAATTTAGACATTAAAAACTATCAAAGATTGAAATAATTATACCTCTGCAGGAGAGCTCACTATCTATATACTCCTCACGAGTACAAGAAAAATAATTTTACTACAAGTCAAAGCTATTGTCAAGTTCTTTTTTGGAGTGTAAGAATGTGGAGCAGTGTAAAAATTAAATACAAAAGCTATGTATTATGAATGAATTGTCTTTTGTTTCACTAACAATACAGAGTTAAGAATAGCTGAATATTTGGCAGTTAGATTGGAAGGTTTTTACCTTTAGTGTTTGAACTGTGTGACCTAATGAATTGCTTGAACTTTACCATCTGACCATTATTGCTGAGTCTGTGCCATGCCCTCTCGTAGTGTTGGCAGATGAGTGTATAGTATCCATAGAATTGATTCTGTTTCAAGAAACAATATGTCTTATAACAAAAAAAGTCTGCTAGGAAGCTTACACATGCTAAAACGTTTGAAGATATTCAGCTGCTCATAATTAATCACATTATTAAGTGCTAGTGGTTGTATACATTAGTCATAGGTTAATGAAGAATTCATTGGTGATGAAAATATTCGATATTTTTCAGTGTTTATTACTTCTGCTAACTGAAAACTTCTCTAAGAAATATGTTATTTTGTTTGGAAGCCACATCATTTAAAGCTGTTGTGATCAGTGGTAACTATGAAATCATTGAAATGTATAGGTTCAAGTTTCTGTCACTCGATTTTTTTTTCAATGTTGTTGTTTGGTTTTGTTTTTTTAGCCAACTTGGAGAAAACTAAAAGGTATTGACAACAGACTCATGAGACTATTCAGAGGACAATAGTGCCAAATAATATGGAACTGAGAAAAACAACAACATATTCTTCCAAAAAATTTGAAGAAAGTAAGTATAAAGTAAGTTTAATTCTCTGTATACTTCTGATTCACAAAAAACTAATAGTTAAGCCTATTTCAGCAACTGTTGATTTTTGTATAAATCAGATTGTTTTTCAGATTTAAAATATTGTTGTTTCTTGCTTTTGAAATTCATATGTCATGCTGTGTTGTATCCTACAGAGTGCATAATTATTCTCGTGATTCATGACATGCATATTTTATTGACATCATGACAGTAAAAATTGCAACATTAAGTGTCCCTTACATGACATCATCTTAGTCTCTACTGACTGACTGACAGACAACACACTACTGTATAGTGGTGTGAGTGGTTAAAATAGGTGACTCCCTCCAGGTGGTTTTGGCTCCCTTATGGGGAAATAATGATTGATTTTGATTTTGACTAATTCCTGTCTATATGAATTTTATATATAATAATATTGTCAAATTCAGATCATGATCTGTAATGTAAGACTGGAAGATGTTGGGATAAAATAAATGCTTACTTACAGTAAAGGTAAGTGGAGGGAAATACCTTTTTAATAACATGCGGCTATCTTATCAGTTATAAAATATTTTACGACTTGCATAAAACTATATTTTTTAGTTAATTATTATTTTGAATTTTTTAAGCATGTTATTACAGTACAGGATCTGTATTTAAAAAAAGAGTATGAATGTTTTTTTTTAGTCTTAAAACTTCCAGTCGATATCTTTTGCTCAGAAATCTCATTGTTTATGCTGTTTATTTCTGGTATAGATTAGAAAGTAGTATTTAATTTTCTGTTTTTTAGATATACTTGGATGTTTATTTCATCATAAGATCCGTATTATTATTAGAATGAACAGATATTATTATAAAAAGCATCAATCTATACAACCATAACATTTCCAGATGGGTGAATGAAAAAGTTAACCTTAGTTAATGAGCAATTATAAGAGAGATTATTTTTACAGTTTTATATGTAGTTACAGAATTGCTCACCAGATGTTAAAAGACAATCTTGCATTCAGAATAAAGTCAAACAAGTACTTATGTTTAATCATTATAATGATAAATTTTTGTTCACAAGGTCTCGGGTGGTAAATATTGTGTTATTAAAGTTGATATGTATCATTATTACTTAGAAAATGCATAAGTTATGATTGAGGATAAGTGTTTGTATTTTACAGGTCCTTGAAATGGCAATCTTGTAAAATTGGTGCTGATATTGTTCACAAAGAACCGTCAAGAAAAGGGATGAAAAAGAGAGAGGGCTTAGCAGTTAGTCATCAGGGTGAGAAATCCTAATGCTAATCTCTGATCGTTGAAAAATATGAGTAAGAAGTGGACCTTGTACATAGTGTGCTGTTGGTGAAATAATAAAAATATTTGTAATTATTAGCTGTTTGGCTGATTGTTTTCTTTTTCTCTTGTTGTTTAAAGATACAGATTTACAGTTGCAAGGATCAAACATTTGATCATTAATTTAGTAGTTTAGCAAAATCCAGTCTGGTTAGGATTGAATTTATGAAATTTAGAAAAGATTTCACCAACAACAAAAATATGGAAGCTTTGTGTTTTTTTTTATTATTCTTATATTTATGGGTTTTTTTAATTGAATTAATTTCCACCTTGATTTCTGTCTGTTAATAATAATAGTGTATAGTTCAAAAAATAGTTTTAAATAGGCCAAGATTCAGCTTAATTTGCTAATATTGGGTTGTTTTGTTTTAAATGCTTGGACTCAATTCACTGAAGTGTTTACTTGGAAAATAATTTTTTAGAAATTGTTATTAATGGACCAAGTAGGATTTGTATATTTAAAGAATTAAACAAACTTGACAATATTACATGACAGTACTAAAAGCAATATTTTTTAATAATTTTCCAAAAATTAATTCTTTAGTTTTCACATCCAATGTAAATTAGTAGTTTGAGAATATTATATAAAGTTATTCCAAAAACAGCATCATCTAAATATTCTGGCTTAGCCAAAGATGTAGAAATCTTCTTGTCAAATCCAGTATTTATTACTGCACCGTGTGATGAGAAAACACAGTGAATTCCATAAATAGAGTATTTTTATGCTTACATAAATAACTTATCACCTTTAATACATTGGTATACAAACTAAATTAATACCACATTGAAACTTCAAAATAAACAGTTAAGAGTAGATTTTTGTGGTAGGGAAGTGTCAGTGTTAACCTTTGTCACTGTACTACTTTGTGATAGGGGAATATTAGGGTTAAATTTTGTCACTGTAGATTTTTGTGATAGGGAATGTTCGGGTTAGCTTTTGTCACTGTAGATTTTTGTGATAGGGGAATGTTAGGGTTAACTTTTGTTACTGTAGATTTTTGTGATAGGGGAATGTTAGGGTTAGCTTTTGTCACTGTATAATTTTATGGTAGGAGAATGTTAGGGTTAACCTTTGTCACTGTAGATTTTTTGATAAGGGAATATCAGGGCCCTGGTTAGCCTTCATCTATGATTAGTATATTCTTTAGTTAAGCAATTCTATGCAATAGGGACATTGTATGGTCTTATTTTGCTATATGAAGTGTTGAAATATTTCATTACTATATTTTCTTGCACAGTAATTTTAGCAAGTCCATTATAAACAGACATGCACCAGAAGGCTTTTTGTGACTGAGGCTATTATTTAAAAGTTAAGCTAAGAGTTTTTGAAGATAGATATGATATGAGAAACTTGTGCTTACCTATAAAATTACTTGTTCACAGTGTGTCATAATACATAATACTAAAAAGTTGGTGGTTTTTAGTGCATTACCACAAATCTGTCAAAATATATTAATTTAAAAAATGCACAATTGAATTTTGGGACATCCCTTGCAAGTCATAAGTTCTTTGAGTATTTGTGTTTAATTTTTAATTCAAAGATATAAGTTGTGTAAAGAAAAAAGAGAATTTAAGCATGTCTGTGGTGACTGAATAACCTATATGAAACAAAAACAAGTTGTTACAAAACAGTATATTTGTTTAGACTTGAATACACCATCAGAATATGTGTTTAGTATATGGGTAAGGGTTGTGTTTGTTGTTCATTAAAATTTTCTCACCAAAGATACTTTCTCATCATTGTTCGCTGAAGTAGACCACTTGTTAATTGTAATTCGTGGTTCATGACTATTGGTGTTTTTAATGTCCTCAGCTCCCCCCACTAGATCAGTGGTAAACTTACAGACTTATGATGCTAAAATTTGATGTTTGATTCTTTGCAGTGGACAGAAAGTAGATAGTTCATTGTGTAGGTTTATTTTGAAACAATAGTACTCCATCTATGATGAGATGTTTCATAATCGTTATCTATATTTTTTTTATTTTTTTTACATTACCTCAAAAATTGTTTGGGGTTACCTGTGGTTTATATCTCTAAAAAGGATACACAGTTAGAAATGAAAATCATCTTAAATAGATTGAAATTGATATTGACCATGGCAAACTCCAATATATACATATAATCTTATTGGGCAGGCCTCCCCCAGTGGCACAGCGGTATGTTTATGGACTTACAATATTAGAAACTGGATTTTGATACCTGTGATAGGTAGAGCACAGAAAGCCCATTATGTAGCTTTGTGCTTAACTTCAAATAAACAAACATACATATTGGACAGTTTGTGTAGATTAAATTTATTCTTCTTTCAAATAGTAGTTTTTTTTTTTAAACTTAACAAAAGACAGGATAAACTTTTTGCATGCCAAATCGTTTAGATATTTTGAAATGTGTTTTATTATTTGTATAATAAAAAATAGTACAAATAAAAATATTTAGTTTATTTAGTTGCTTATTTATTTAATGATTATGGAAGGTGAATTACTGATATAAAAGATTTAGTACCTATTTAAAATTTAAATTACATCACTGGAGTTCAGTCTGTGTTAAAAATGGAAAAAATGTAGTACGCTTTACAGTCACTGGGTGGCGCCTTACACGTGGCTCATGACTCCAATATATTACTTATCATAAACATGATAGAATGATAAAAAAAAAGGCCAGAGATAGGCGTAAGACATTAAAAAGTATTAAGGTCATCACGTTTATAGATTATATTTTATGGAAAGACGAAGCAAACATAAGTTATGATAGAACTTAACGAGTTGTGATTTGAATAAAGTAATACGAATCAAGCGAGTAAACAGTAGGTTTACAATAGCGATTAAGTGAAAAGCTGATATTAGCTTGTTCCAAAATAAATAAATAATAATGTAGCGTTAACCCTTCATTGCACATTGTAACGTACAGCTAACAAATCTTTGATGTTTAATACACATACAAATGCTTCAATTCTGTAGTTCAATACTCTTAATTCCAGGTAACAGTCCAAACAAACCATAGAATTATTTTTCCTCAATTATACTGTTACGTCTAGGTAAAGTATCAGCATATCACTTACCAAAACAAAACAAAAAAAATGCTCCCCGGTTGGTCAGCGGTAAGTCTACGGATTTACAACTTCATTATCAGAGGTTAGATTCCCATCGGTGGACACGGCAGATAGCCCGATGTGGTTTTGCTATAAAAAACACATTTCACAAAAAAAAACGTTTTCTAGTGCAACATAGACCTGTTTAAGTAAGAAATTGAAATAATACGTTTTTTTTTCCACCGTATTTTCATAATAAAGAGTAAGGCTCTCATGTAATAGAAACTCGAGATTTACAAGGATGGGAAACAAACTTACATTACTTGTGTCGGGAATTTTTTGTAAATATGAGCAAATTATTGCAGGTTTTATTGTCGTGATATTTGCATCGATAATCACGCGAATCGTAGAAAAATACGGGGATAATTAAAAAATAAAAGAAAATTCTTTTTCGTGTTTTTCTCGCAGACTTTGTAAGTGAAGATGTGAATTTATCACCCCTGAAATTTTCAACTAATCTTTTTTGTTAAGCACAGAGCTACGTAGTATCCGCAGGGTTCGAACCCCAATTCTAGTTTTATAAGCAGGGCCGTGGACGGATGGGTATGGGGGGATATATATTTTTCCAACAAAAAAAAACGGAGAAAGAGAGAAGATACAGTATTAATTTCTCCCGGAGGGGGAGGGGTATTTTCTAGGCATATCTCCTCAATCCACTAAACCCCAACCGAAGTGCAGGCTACAGCCCTGGTTTTAATCCCCTAACGTTACCGCTGGGCCATGGGGGGGGGGATTTGCCGTGTATTTCAGTTTTGTGTGGCTCTTTCTTCATGTTTCATATTTTCTTGTTCATTTTTCTATGAAGTCAGAAGTATCTGACAACGGCTAATACACTCACTCGGTTAATGGGGCAATAATTTTCCACGTGAGTCAATAGAGTAACTCCTCTATTTACACGTTTTTCTTTGTGTCCTCTTTACTTAACGCCTGTGCTCAATTTTGACCCCTTTCGACCTGTACGTGGGTGAAATCTTGTAGTAAGCCCAGTCAAGTGTTTGTAACATTACCAGTCTAGCCTCTCACACAGGAGTATCTGGACATGCAACTTGTATGACGAGTTTTTTGTTTTAGTCGTAATGATGTTTTTATTTGCTTTTAATATTTTTTTCTTGTATGTAAACGCCTGGGTTATTAATATGAAAACGTCTTATATGAATAGTTTGGAAAAATCGTTACAAAAAACAAGCATAGGATTGACGCGCACTAGAAAAATGATTTGAATTACAATACATCGTCCTTTAAAAAAGGTTCAAACTGCCATTTAGGTATGATGTAGCAATAGATTTTGTAGACAAGAAAAGTTGTATGATGTTAAAATGTTCTTGAGAGTTTTGTCTAGTACACGTATTTACACTTAACGTTAAGTACTGGAGTAATTTGTTAATGTGACGGTCAATCCCACTATTCATTAGTAAAAGAGTAACCCAAAAGTTGGCGGTGGATGGTGATGACTAGCTGCCTTTTCTCTAGTCTGTCACTGCTAAATTAGGGACAACTAGCGCAGATAGCTGTCGTGTTGCTTTGCGCGAAATTCAAAACAAATCAAATCGCACTCTGGGGCCCTGGGTGCGTTATAACAGTGACTGTCAGATCCCACTATTCCATTAGAATATCTCTCGTTGCCAAAAAATTGCGCTCTGCTCTTTGTGGCATTGGGTGCGTTATAAGAGTGACAGTCAAATCCCACTATTCGATTATAATAGCTCAAGAGTTGGCGGTGGGTATTGTTTACTAGTTGCTTTCCCTCTGTCAGTTCAAAATTAAGGATGTCTAGCGCCGACACAAACATAAGCATACGTTACGTACTTATTTATATTTTACAGATGGAATTACGTGTTAGCTA